GTAAATGAGGGACAGTTGTACTGCATGCGACTCAGTAGCACACAATTACGCGGTGAGTCTATAAATGTCCTTATCGATCTGGCTGTAGATGTTACCCTGTTCATCTGAATTAACAATGTGTTTGCAAGTGCTCTTTCAGTAGGAGAATTTGCGAAAATGACTACTCTTTTCGTTAAACTTCCTCAAAAATCTCTTTACAAAAAAAAAAAAAAAAACCCGAACAAGTGCTTCTAACTAGGTGAAATGAATACCTTGGCAAAATTGAACGCCAGATGTGAAGCGAAATCAACACAAAAGCCGATGCTCATCACAATGGTGATCATAGAGACGAAGTCCAAGCGAACATCCCAAAAAGTCATCAAACCGAGTACGCCAATATTTACTGATATGATGCTGAGAGAAACCCATAAAGTTGCAACCGCCTCCGGGATTAGCAAAACTGACACTATAATCACCGCACTAAGTGCGACTGCTATCGTCGATAATGTACCAGGCAGTACCGCATTGTACTGCTCCGCAAACTGCAATCTCTACGGTAAGCAGTAGTAAAAACAAAATCAGCTAGGCCTGAGCATTTCATTTTTCAGGAGAAGTGAAGTCTGTGCAGCAGAATGATTGCGAATTCAGCCGCAAAAAGCAGCCGTGACAGCAGGACTGTCAATCCTTTTCCCTTCCTTTGTTTAAGAAGCTAAGTGCAGGAATTTTCCATCATAATTTTGACTGCCAAACATATCGTGTTTTTATGACTAAATTGCTAAGAAGGATTCGGTTGAATTTTTTGTTAATCAGTTTTGAATAAGGACCTTCTAAGGCAACGACAATGTCAAAACAATTCACTGTAGCAACATTCTGTTAAAAAACGCATTTTAGTCACAAATTTTCAAGTCTAAGTAATTCCCTGTGAGTGGTGCAGAAGTTAAATGAAACTTCCAAATGAACTTCATGCATCGGACCAAATCTTTGGGCACTTTCTGTGCAAGACTAGGGCCTTGCCCTTGTGATAGAACTGACGCCAAAATTCTAGGTGTTTCTAATTTATTCCTTTTCTGAACCTTCTTAATCAGATGTAGGCGGAGTAACAGACCGAAGCCATGCTGAACAGATGAGCTTAGCGGAAGTGTGCATATTGCCTCCAAACTCTACACTGGTAAAACTGTATGTCTTGGTGACGCTCTGCCACTGACACACAATTCGATAAATTTTATCTTGAGGACTGCCCAGTACTGCATCATCTACACATCTGCACGGCCTGATGGCAAGTCCACTTCCACTGGCAAGAAATCGAAGTACTGCGGATTCTTAAAGTGATACTTAAATTCGGTCTCGCTTCAGTTTTTATGCGTTTTTGCCGCGTAGCGCTGGAGCGTTGCAACAGGCAGCAAAAACCCATATTGCAACGAACCCATATTGCAACAAAATTGCAACGACCCTGTCAGTGTTTGTGTGTGTGTGTTCGTCTGTCCGGGTATTTCAACTCGCCAACCACGTAAGCTTTGAAGCTGAAATTTTGCCAGTGTGTTGCCCAGCCAGCTGCCACGCCAGGACCGCAGTATCAACTCTTATGCACGTCAGGGCCCCGCATACGAGCACGTGAAAGTTTTGGCGGGAAAACTGCTAACTCGGGGACGAGAAAAGCTAGAAAGCTGGAACCTTAGGGTAATGTCCTCTACAAAAAGATTTCAAATTCAGCTGCCCAGGACTGCCCGGGGATTACGTACGAGCACGTGAAAATTATGGCGGGAAAATTCATAACTCAGGAATGAGAAAAGGTAGAAAGTTGAAACTTTGGGGGAATGTTCCCTACTCATGCACTACCAAAGTTTTCAAACTGAGCTTGTTAGGACCGCCCGGGACTCATGTACGGGCATGTGGAAATTTTGA